TAAGACGGAAACGAGGCGCAGAGTGAGCCTTTAACATTACACAAGAACATGAGAGACTCAAGAACCTTGCTGGCGCGTGGGAACGAAGATACATTTGGAATTCACCTACCAATGTCACTGGGTGATCTGGAATTTATCCGCATATGGCATGATAATTCAGGAAAATATCCTTCATGGTTTCTTAGCCATGCGATTGTCATGGATCGTCAGACAGGTAGAAAATGGACATTTTTTTGCAACGATTGGTTTGCATTGGAAAAAGGGGACGGTAAAATTGACAGGATTCTAACCCCTCTCGGTTCGCAGGAGATGCAAACGTTTAGTTATGCTTTGAGATCGCAAGGTTCCAGGGGTTTTTCCGATGAACACGTTTGGCTTTCGGTTGTTGCTAAGCCGCCAAGCAGTAGATTCACACGTGTCCAAAGAGCCACTAGCTGCCTTTGTATACTGTTGTCTGCGATGTTAGCAAATGCCCTGTTCTACAGATCAGAGAAAGAGCCAGATTCTGCCCTGCAAATTGGTCCATTAAAATTTAGCTGGAGGCAAGTGATGGTGGGAATTGAGAGCGCTTTGATAGTAACTCCAATAAACTGGATGATCATGACATTTTTCAAGAGGAGTGCCAAGAAAACTCCAAACAAAGTCCACGTAGAAAAACCGAAGAACAGACCCGCTCCTTTTTGTAGCAAGTCGTCTACTAACAGTTTAGGCGATATTAATGACGTTGATGTCACCCTAAATGACAAAAGGTCTTACTTCGGAAATAATTTCCAAAGTAAAACTACTATCCAGGAGAAATTCACGCTCCCTCACTTCTTAATCTACATTGCTTGGGTTTTAGTCCTTGCTACTGTATCTGTGTCTTCCGTCTTTACATTCTTGTTCAGCTTGCAATGGGGAAAGGATATTTCGAACCAGTGGCTTTCTTCAATGTTTGTATCTTTTACCCAAGACCTTTTCGTCCTACAGCCCGTGAAGATATTGATTATCATAGTGTTAACTGCTTCTCTGTTTCGCAATAATGATGACACTAAAACCGTTAGCCACATCACTGAAGAAAAACTGCATTGCGAAACAATAAGCGTCGACAACAATGTTCAAGTGGAAATGCCGAAAGAGGATGAACTTATACGTGCAAGAGAGTACAGGACTAAAGAGATAGAAATGTTTTCCTTTTTGAGAGAGCTCCTGGGGTATCTTCTGTTCTTCTTTTTACTTATTATTGTGTGTTACGGTAGACGAAGTTACCACGGATATCTCATGACTATCGATCTGAAAAATACCCTTGGCGAATTTTCTTTGGTAAGTAACCCAGTCTACATTTTAGGGTAACCGAACAACTTTGTTAACTGTAAATTTCCTTGTTTGAGAGTTATAATGATCGGCAAGCGAGAATGACATAGTGGTGAGATCAATCGCATTGAATTGAGTCTGGCCTGGTTTCCCTACCGATAGATGACACCCTATGTAGATTGATCTTTTTTTAAGTTTTTGTCATTGTTCCGAGGATTCCACCAAGCGCATTTGAATATAGTCTCGCTCGATATGATACAATCATATTTTATCTTAATGCGAGATCTAATTAATGAAAATCCTCTTTAAGAAAGTCAAGGTTTATTTTGGACTGACATAGATATTACTTGGCGTACAATCACACATACAACCACCCACAATCAATTTAAATTTATTGCGTTTATAATTATGCGAGATGATCCCTAACCCCAGTTATCTTGGCTCTTCCCACGAACCCCATCCTCTCCTTCCTTGTATGTATTCCAATCGGTTCATTGCCTCTGTACATTTGAGAAAGTCTCTTCGTGTCTAGGCTGAAGATCCACGGTATTTTTGGAAATGGCTCAAAGTCAACTTTGTGGAGGGCGTCTACGTCAGCGACTGGTACAACAACGACAAAATCAAACAGCAAGATTACAATGATAACAAGATGTCTATTCTCTTGGGAATGCCTCGCTTGAGACAACTACGAATACAGAAAGGTAAGTATAACACTAAAAATGAACAAGGTGTAGTCAGGAGATTTCATGAGTTCTTTGAAAATTGGTTGCCTCTGACTGTTGTTA